CTTTTCTGGTTATGTTCAATATCGTGGTGAAAGTCTGCAGCTCCTCTTGAAAACTGCAAAGGAAAATAAGAATGGAAGCAACAAAGACTTTGGAGTCACATATCATGAATAAAATAAAAAACACCTTTCAGTGGGAGAAACTTTGAGCTTAAGTGTCAGATGTGGCTGCTTAGTGCTGTGCTGTGAGCCATACACACTGAGAGGGGCTGCAGAGGAGCTGAGACAAGGTTCAGTGGCTCAGGCAGGACCTTGATGCTGAGGAGCTGCTGCATGACTCATGCTGGCTTAAGGAAAACCTACTGTGGTTTGACCTTCAGACACTCTAGCAGATATAAGGATCATCTACATCAACTCTAAGGACACAGCAGAAGAACAGGAAGTGAATATGGCCTGAGCATAACTCTCCTTGTAGAAAGGAGAAATGGTCTGACATCCTTTACCAGACATCAGTGAAGTAATCTCTGTCTTCTTCTTACTAAGTTCAACCCTGTGGCTTTGACCAAGGGCACCTAAAGAAATCGTGATGTATAGTATATTGTTTTCCCTTTAGAGACAACATGAGATAGATAAGGTTGCATCTGCATAATGTCTCCCTGGAAGAGAGAGGGTTATTTCCTAGAGCATATAAGGAAGAACCCCAAAACAACCGGTTGTTAAAAAAGGAGAAAATAGAAGAGAAGAAGGAGGAAGAAGAGAGTACCACATGTAAACAAAGAATGGATTGAGAGTGACATTTATCATAGTTTGTTTCGTTACAGATCAAATAGCAGACATGAACTGGCACTCTCAGAAAAGTGAAAACTAGTACATAATTTGTTTGTGGCTCAAGAAGACATGAAGAAGAGCTCATGTCCAAATCCTACACGCATTCCTTTCCCCTTCTCTCCTTCTCAGTATATATTGGTTAGTTGACTTCGTAAAGCAAATCCTGAATTGAGACAGATAGGTGGTGCCATGGAGTCTGATGAATGAACACACTCAAGCTCAAATTCTTCACGGCAGTATAGCTCAGGGATGGTGGATGGGGGAAATGCTGTATCTTCCTCAACTCCTTGTGAGCCTTTCCTTCTCCTCAAGGGGAAAGAAGTTTAAGGAAGCCATGTGGGTAGGGGAAGTAAATGGAGGAGAAAGAGTATGACTCTCTGAATTGCATTGCAGATATACCCGAGGTCTCTGTAAATACTGGAGTAACTTTTCTTGTATAGTACAGACATTTAATGAATATTTATTTTGATCCATAAAATTGAATTTTATTTTCAAGGAGAATGGTGCTTGTTAAGACAGGAGGATGATAGAGCCATTCATGGTGTCTCAATAGCTCAGGGACTGAAGTGAAGGCAACTGTGAAAGTCCCTAAAAATATTATCAGGGAAGGGTCCTTATCATCCAATCTTCCCCTTTTCTCTGTTTCCCTTCCTAAGTTTTTTCTAACATTTTCTTTTATCACTGACCATCTCTCTGAGTCTTATGAATGAGCGGAAGTAATAACTCCTCTCTAATTTTATTTTCTACCTTTTTTAAAACCAGTTCTGCCTTCTTAGTTTAAATTTTTAAAATTGTCTTTTAATAAAATATTACACGTACATGGTAAATACAAAACTTGAAAGAGAGAAAAACAGTGTACAATTTTACAAAGTTCCAGGTTTTTGGTTGAACATGGCTGATTAAATATTCATGTTTATTCTCTGCTCCCTCCTGAGGCCCTAGTGAAATGCTAATAAAGGAGTTTAAAATCTGTATAAACACACAAGCACAAAGAGAACTGAAAAGATGGTGACAGCACAAGAGAGATCAAGATAACGTTGAAGGCGTTGAAAGCAAATGGAGAGGTGGCAAACTGGTTTAACCGAGAGAGAAAACCTGCTCCTGTAGAGGGGAAAGCTGAGAGGAAGCAGTCCTGTGCATTCTGCAGCATTCTGGAAATGCTCAAGAATTAGAAGCATCAATTTTGATGGGGAAAAAGATATCAGGTGTGGAGGGTAGATGGGAAAGAAATAGGAAGATTAACGGAAAGACTAGCCTCAAGAGGAAGCAGTTGGAACTCAGTGTAATCCTCCTCTGTCCTTTGCCACCCTGTACCACAGGCTGCAAGCTACCTCAAATCTGGCAGAAGATTAAAGGTTGAATCTGATTATTTTGAACTAGACAGTCTCTGGATTACAGAATACTAGAGATATCTGAGAATGAAGTGAGGTGCCATAGACAAAACAGGGGGATTAAGTGAAATTCTATATTTCTAGTGTTAAGTCCATCAGCTCCTGTGTCCAATTCAGTTTAAAATTCTAGTTTTCCAAATAATTTTTCATCAGAATCTAACATTTGTTGATGCTGATGAGAAATCTAATTCCAGTGGGTTACCCCAATTGGCAATTTTTTTTACTTTTCTCTCCATACACATCTGGATTTTTTTCCCCCTTATCTTTGGTGTTCTAGTTTTGCTAGAATATGTTTAAGTGTAAGTATTTTAAATTCAGTGATATTCACACTTTGTGGGCTATTTTCATTCAAATATGCAATATCCTTCAGTTGTGGGAAAATTTGTTCTATCACTTCTTTAGTAAATCTCTCTCTTCTGGTTCTTTTCTTCTAGGACAAATATTATTTGCTTGTTTTATCTCCAAGATTGATTTTCTATGTAGTAGTATATTTCAATTCATTTTGGAGTCTTTTTCTTCTGTGTCCTGAGAGTTTTTCTCAATTTTGTTTTTCAGACCATCTGCTGATTTTTATAAAGTTTTGGCAACAATATTTTAGTTTTTAAAGAGCTCTTTGTGGTTGTTGAATTTTTGTGTTGATTCTTTTAGGATATATTTAACTAGATATTTTTGAATGTTCTCTTTTATTCTCAGAATTTCGTTTCCCTTGGCATCAGGCTTTCTGATTCTTTTCTTGATATTTATATTTGTTGCTTTATACTGAGGACTAGTCCTCCCTGCTGTCCCTTCATATTATAAGAAGGAAGGACTATACAACTACAGGTATTTCCTGTGTCATTGTTTATGTAGGTCTGTTTTCCAATAGGTTTCCTTGAAGATGTGATTTAGTTAAGGACCTTGAGATAGGAAAATTAGCCTGGATCATCCAGGTGGACTCAATCTAATCACATGGGTTTTTAAAAGTGGAGAAACATTCCCTGCTGTGGTCAGAGGGAGACATGACTATGGTTGAATGATCAAAGAGATGAAACATTGCTGGCTTTGAAGATGGAGGGAGATGTTGCGGACCAAGAAATATGTGCAGTCTGTAGAAGCTGGAAAACAGATTCACTCCAAGAGTCTTCAGAAAGATATATTGCTGATAACTTGATTTTAACCCAATGAGACTCATGTTGAACTTCTAACCCACAGAGCTGCAAAAATAAGTTTGTGTTGTTAAGACATCAAGTTTGTGATAATTTGTTATAGTAACCATATGTCAATTTGCAGCCTTTTATTTAGAATATGTGAACAAGGGTTTGATGCTGCTTTCAACCTCCTCACTCTTGAATCCCCCAAACCTCCTCCCCACTCTCCGCCAGTGCACCAATGTCAGATTGAAGGGTTACTCATTACAATTTACACTGTAGTCTCTCATAGTTGCTTTTTTTTCTGTGACTTTCACTTCTCTAGTTAAATCATCATGTCCTTTACATTTTTACTCTTTTATCAGTGGGAACTTCGGAAAGATAGGCAGTGAGCAGGTATGGTCATCCGATATCTGGAATTAGAAGCATTATTCATGGACTTCTTATAAGTGAGAGACAATAAGTAGATTGTCTCTAGGCAAGGCAATGAGGATCCCGAGGACAGATTTGATTTCCTGTTGCTATAAACAATCACAGTCCCAGATAAGAGGCTTCCTAATGTTAAAAAAAGGTCCCTATTGCCCCTAGGAAAGGCAGCGTGTTTCTCTCTTCTCATTTTCCCTAAAATTGATCTCCTGGTGTGATAGTTTCTCTTTTAGCCCCAGGGTCTACAGTGGGTGGAAAGAAAAGGCTTCTTTCAGAAGAACAGCCTTGCTGTTGCCACAATCAACACTACCTTGTTTTACAAGACTTGATTCATTCATATAAAACTACTGGTGGCCTATCTGTGTCAGATTTCATGATCAAACAGCTCACATATCTTTTTTCCTTTTAGATGTTTTTCTTAGCTCTGTTCTGCTGGTGGTACTCCTTCTTGGATTCCAGGGTAAATGCAAATATATTTTTACTCTGTCCTCAGTTCCTTCAGAAATTATTTATGTTTTATTTTGCAATGCCTTCATCAATCCTCTCAGTTTTTTCTGTAGATACTAAAGTCACTCAATGATGTCTTGATGATGTAGTACCCAGAATTGGATGTAATACTCTGGTTATGTTCCCAGCAAATTGCAATGTTATTTCACTCTCTTATCTGAATATTGTGTTATAATTTTTATTGATCTAAAGCCTCTGTATCTTTGTAATTCTACTTGAAGAAGAAAAAGATAATCCTATTTTCTTTTCCTGGATGAGGGCTCTTGTTCTAGGTGTCAGGCCTCTGAGCCCAAGCTAAGCCATCATAACCCCTGTGTCCTGCACATATACATCCAGATGGCCTGGAGCAACTGAAGAACCACAAAATAAGTGAAATAGGCAATTCCTGCCTTAACTGATGACATTCCACTGTTGTGATTTGTTCCTGCCCTCACCCTAACTGATTGATTGAACTTGTGCCATTCCTTCTCTTGGACAATGAGTCTCAGGAGCTCCCCACCAGAGCACCTTGTGACCCCCGCCCCTGCCCGCAAGAGAAAACCCCCTTTAATTGTAATTTTCCACTACCTACCCAAATCCTATAAAACTGCCCCACCCCTATCTCCTTTGCTGACTCCTTTTTAGGACTCAGTCTGCCTGCACCCAGGTGATTAAAAAGCTTTATTGCTCACACAAAACCTGTTTGGCGGTCTCTTCACAGACGCGTGTAACACTAGACTTTTATTTTGTACATCTGATCTTATTTTAAATTTTACCAAAGTAGGTATCTCCACATCCTACCACATCCTCCTCTCAACCTGATGCTCACTGCAACAAGGTCATTTGAAGCTCAGCCAGAAGAGTTGATTTAACTAATTTTGCTTAAAGAATGTCTCCACTGCTTTTATACAAAGATACTAAGGGACTCCAAAATCTGCTAGATTCATTGTGTGATCTTTTTCTCTGTAAATTCCTCCTCTCTTTTACAGTCCTCATTTTTCATTGAGGCTAGGATTAATGTAATATACTACAGAGGTCCACGTAGTACAGATTAGGGAAGAAAGAAACGTTCACTGGAAGTTTTTGACAGGTCTCCAAACAAGGAAAGCCCACATTTGCTTCTTGTGGGGAGTCTGTATCCTTGGTCCTGAATCTGGCCTCCAGAGGGTGATGTTGACAAGGGACAGATGGCTGTTTCCAATGATGATCAACATTTTCTGCTCAGCCCCTTCTTCCTGCAGCTGGCTTACTGAAGCACTGTCACTGGAGTTCTTTGAAGATGGGACAAATGGAGAGAATCAAAGATTGAAAAGCACTGAAGATTATCTCGGCAGTTCTTGTATTTTTACCAAAACAAGAGACTTGCCTAGCCCAACCTTCCTCACACTCGCTATTCTCAAGACCTGGGTTCCAGCCACTTTCTTACCGGCTCTGAGGAGAATTTCCAAAGAGACACCTGCAGTTTTTCCACAGCTCAGCCATGCTCCTTTTGCTCATACCAGTGCTGGGGATGATTTTTGCCCTGAGTGAGTAACATTCTATTATGGTCTCTAGTTCCACAGAAGTAACTATTTTCTGATTCAAATCTTAGTAGAAATACTTTTCATAGACAAATCTGCACTGTTTTCACTGATATAACATTGATTTTTTCAGGAGATGCCAGAGCCCAGTCTGTAAGCCAGCATGACCACCATGTAATTCTCTCTAAAGGGGCCTCACTGGAGTTGGGATGCAACTATTCCTATGGTGGCACTGTTAATCTCTTCTGGTATGCCTAGCACCCTGGTCAAGACCTTCTGTTTCTCCTCAAGTACCTTTCAGGGGACCCATTGGTTAAAGACATCAAAGGCTTTGAGGCTGAATTTATGAAGAGTAGATTCTTCTTTAACCTGAGGAAACCCTCTGGGCAGTGGAGTGACATGGCTGAGTACTTCTGTGCCGTGAATGCCACAGTGTATGGGACTGCAAAGGGAGCTGAACACAAACTTCATAATGTGCTAGGGAGAATAACTGCCTCTGAAAGATTTTGGATTCTAACACAGTAGAAACCGTGATGTTAGTTTTTTTAAAAATGTATTTTTAATTTTTAGGGATACATAGTAGGTGCATATGTTTATGGAGTACATGAGATATTTTGATGCAGGCATTCAATGCATAACAATGACATCACGTAAAATGGGGTATCCATCCCCTGAAACATTTATCCTTTGTGTTACAAACAACCCAATCATACTCTTTCAGTTATTTAAAAATGTACAATTAATTATTATTGACTGTAGTTACCCTGTTGTACTATCAAATACTAGGTCTTATTCATTCTTTTTGTACCCATTAAACATCCCTCCTCTCCCCCACCCTCCCACTATCCTTCCCAGCCTCTAGAAACCATCCATATGTTCTACTCTCTATTTCCATGAGTTCGATTGTTTTGATTTTTAAATCCCACAGATAAGTGAGAACATGCAGTGTTTATCTTTCTTGTCTGGCTTATTTCACTTAGTGTAATGACCTCCAGTTCCATCCATGTTGTAGCTGTGAACCCAAAAGTATGTGAGACGGGTCTCAATCAATTTAGAAAGTTTATTTCCCAAGGTTAAGGATGCATCTGTGACACAACCTCAGGAGGTCCTGACAACATGTGCCCAAGGTGGTTGTAGTACAGCTTACTTATATACAGTTTAGGGAAACATGATACATCCATCAACACATGTAAGATTTACAGTGGTATGATCTGGAATGGCAGTACAGCTTGAAGGGGAGTTTCCAGATCACAGGTAGATTAAAAAATTTTCTGATTGGCAATTGTTTATTATCAATAGAAAGCAATGTCTGGGCTATAATTAGGGGTTGTGGAGACCAAAGTTTTGTCATACAGATGAAGCCTCCACGTAGCAGGCTTCAGAGAGAATAGATTGTAAATGTTCTTATCAGACTGAAAGTATGTGTTGATGTTAATGCCAGTAAGCTTTTCTTCAATTCCAAAAGGGAAATTCAAAACGGAGGGGAATATAATGAGGTATGTCCAATCACTCCTTCCCATAGTGGCCCAAACTATTTTTTCAGGTTAGCTTCGGAATGCCCTTGACTGAGAGAAGGGGTCCATTCAGATGGTTGGAGGTCTGAGAATTTTGTTTTGGTTTATATTACAAATGACAGGATCTCATTGTTTTTTGAAGTCATGATGTTCTTATTCCACAGTATGGAGATGCTTAGGGACTTGCTGGGTGAGTGTGAAGCTGCTATATTTTAATAGATATTAAAATTTTATATATTTTTAATATATTTTTATATAATTTGCTATATTTTAAATGGTTGAATATGGAAATTGTGACATGACACAGAGTTTTGCTTTTCGTTCACCATTTTATCTTTCAATATCCAGAACAACAGGTGAACTTCCTTTTGTAAGCATATCTTCTTCTTGCATACTTACTGCTCTCTCAACTTGGTAATTTTAAAGTAGTTTCCCTGGAGTCAGCACTCTGTGCTGATTATTTTCTCTCCTTTTTAAGTGCTTCATTTAGGAAGGAGGAGATTTATTAGGATGCTGAATGGCTTAGAACAATGGCGTGCTCATGTAGAGTCTAGTAATCTTGTCAGGAAAACTGAAGAAAGGAGAGTGAATAACTCAAATTCTTTAGTAGTTTTTACGGAACAATTTTTTTTTTTTTTTTGAGACAGAGTTTTGCTCTTGTTGCCCAGGCTGGAGTGCCGCAATCTCGGCTTACCGCAACCTCTGCCTCCCAGGTTCAAGCAATTCTCCTGCCTCAGCCTCCCAAGTAGCTGGGATTACAGGCGTGTGCAACCATGCCTGGCTAATTTTTTGTATTATTAGTAAAGAAGGGGTTTCTTCATGTTGGTCAGGCTGGTCTCGAACTCCTGACCTCAGGTGATCCACCCACCTCGGCCTCCCAAAGTGCCGGAATTACAGGCGCGAGCCACCGCGCCTGGCCCTAAAGAGCTATTAAGGAGGAACAAAATGCTAGGTCTGCTTGGCAAGTCCCATTTATTTTTTGTTTTTCCCACTTACAAAGACCAATTCTTATTCTTTTCATATCTTAAATTCTGCAAATCAACTTTATAAATCTTCAGAATTGGCGAAATAGTAACTTTTGCCAATTCTTCCAAATGATGTTATTTTAGTTTTTACTCTTATTCCAGTTTCATATGATTTTACAGTTGGTATATTAGAAATGAATTCTTATCTGTTTAACATTGTGATAAGTAAGTACGTGCAAAATTTAGCAATGTTTGGCCCCTGAAGACGTTCTAATTAAGTATAGTAATGGGAATAAAAAGGTCGAAGGGCATGCGATAGATGTATGACTTCCCCTGGCTAGGAAGAAAAAAATATACAAACACTTTTCAGCCTTCTTACTTGAAGCCTTCAAGGTTAATAATGACTTGAAGAAAGGTAAAGAGAAAGAGGAGGAGGAGGGTTGGACTTTTCTATTGTCTACCTCCTGATGCTGTCATGAGTAAGAGGAATAGGAATCTGAAGACATAGATAATAATAGTGGATTGTTTCCAATGATTTACCTAAGACAAAAGGGACACCAGTAGGGATCAGCATTATTTTTCAGGTCAGAGTGATATGGCTATTTGTGGCATATACATTTGGAAGATTTCCGGAAATGAAGTAAGATGTATAAAATTATTGATAAGAAATATATACTTATTTAAAGGCTTGTTCAGATTATATTCTCTACTGTCCCCGAGACACTGATGATCTTTATAAGACTTCAAAACACAGCTCAGTCCTGTGTTCCAGAATGACTGCAAGTGGGTACTTTATACACTGCATATGAGAAGGAGAAATCGCAATTTCTTCCAATTCAAAACTGAAGTTCAGTACCGAGGAAATATAACTGCTGGCACCAAGAACCTCAAGCACCTGGAAATGCATTTTCTGCTTTCGCACCAACAACCCTGTTTGAGACGTCAGAGTAGTTTTATTTATATGATTGTTTTATAAATGTAAAGAACATTATATAATATATATAAAGGAGAAGGTAGAAATATTTAATTTCTAACACAATTATATTTGCCATATGAGCAGACAGTGCCATTTTAAAACAATATATTATTTCTATCTCTTGATATTAGTAAATACAGTTACACATAAATACAAAGTTTCAAATTTTAAAAAATAAATAAAACATTACAAATAAAATTGTCATCTCTTTTATTTTTCTCCTCAGTTTTAATGCCTTCATCCCTCTCTCAAAATAAACCTATTATGAACTTTTTTCTCTACTCCATGTTTTTGTATTTCTAAACATAGATATTTTAAAACAAGGTGTGGTGTTGTGTTTTGTGTTTTTAAAATTTACATGAATGCAATCCAATTGTATGTGTAATTATGAAACTTGATTTCTTCCCTAAAATATTTTTTGAGATATAGAAACATTTATATATGTAGATATATTTCATTGCTCTTATTTGATATATAGTATTCCATTTTATGAATATATTATATGTGCCTTTTGATGCACATTGGCTTGTGCAAGGCCATCAGCAGTGATAGTCTTAGACTCAGTTACACAATCAAGTTTACAAAGCTCAATAGGCCACATAGGTACTGGTTTCCCTCACATCCTAAGTGTTCTCAAGAGGAGTCCTTTCAGGGGTCTATACAGTTCACAGATTATTATTTTTGCAATGCCTCCCTCCCCTCCTCCCACATCAAGTGCTGAAGTGTGAGGGAATAAGACCCAACAGGCCATCCAGACTTAGAAACCCCATATCCCAAATGGAAACCAGTATCTCCTGTAACAGTTATAAAAGTCACTGCTCCACAACGATGACATCTTAAAAAGTATTCACAGTCCATTTACAGTCCAGATACAGTTTATCAATCAGGATCATTTTTACCATAACAATCTTACTTGGTAATACAGCTGACATTCTACCTTTATTGGATTTCCAGAGAAACAGAGATTAGAAAGTTAATCTAATTTTTTCATGTAGAAGGAGAAAGGATTTTGTTAATCCTTTATTCAATGAGTGTTTGTAATCTTGTATTATAAAAATTCTACAAGGAATACAATTACGTTTCCTTATATGTAGATACAGAATGTTTTATCTTATATACCCTGAAGTGGCATTTGCTGGGTTATATGATTCACATCTTAAAAAATTTACTTGCAATTGCCAAATTGCTCTTGAAATACTCTTACCAAGTTTTTCCCTCATTAGCAGCATAGAAGAACTCCTGTCTCTTTACACCCTTGTAAACACTTCTTATTTCTTATATAACATCTCACCCTCTCTGTCTGTGTTTCCTGCATTTCTCAAATAAACTACTTACAGTCATTTTTCAAGATTTGCTTCTGAAAGAACCCAATGTAAGAGATTTGGTACAGAAGTGGTCATACAGAGCAAATACATAAATGAGATTTTGGAATTAAATTATTCACGGCCAGAAGGGAACAAGGATCCCATTATTAGCAATAGGTGCAGTGGTGATAAGTACTGAAAGATCATAGCATCATGATTATTAATTGTGGTGAATTGGCATGGGGTTCATGTGTAAGCTGTTGCAGTAACTTATGCGATATACTTAGTGTTTGAGAAGTACTGTGATAATGGTAATTTTATGTGCTGTGGAGCTGGTTATTTACCGTCAGGTGCCATCAGGGAAGAGTAATAACAAAATGGAAGCAGCCGAGACCACTGTGTCTTTCACCATCTCTAATCAATGGTGATCTTTGGAAGATAATGGCTGCTGCTTCCTATCTGCCTTTCAAATCTTGTGCAAATGCTCTTTTGTATTCAGAATTACAAAAAGAAGGGGATTCTGGGCACTGTATTTTCCAGTGCAGCCACATCAACAATAGAATAATCCAATATAGAAAGCCAAGAGCCAAGTTCAGTGATGGCTGCTTAGTTCACCGGTGTGCTCTATTGCTTGTTGTCAACTGGGCGTCTTTCTCGTCCCTTTAGTATACTCCTTTGCTTTGCTAGGGAAGAAACCCAAACTACAATTCACACAAGCCCTTTCATTCACTTAGTTTTAATTCTACAAAGAAGAGGCATTTGGGAATAATATTGGGCAAGCAGAAAAGAAAGAGAAACCATATTCTTCTGTAGGGGCTGTGTGCAGGCAGCCCAGACTACCAGCTGTGAGGACTTTGGT